CACACCGGGTGCAGAGCCCAAGTGAGGATTTTATTGGTCAGGACGTGGGTCTGGGCTATGTGGATTCTTTAGTCGGTTTGGTTTTACCCAATAAGAATTGGGAAGTTCATTTCTTGCTTTCGTATCTTTCACTTTCGCGGCTGCAGATCCCGGTGGCCCTCCAGCGTGACTCAGGGATCCCGGCCACTTCCCTCTTATCTCTGGGTTTCAATAGGCGTCTTCAGTTGCCACAGCAGGAGGACAGACTGGAAAATATCCCACTTGCTTTTCTCTGCTTCCAGCCAGATAGGATGTCCCTTCCTTCCCGTTTCCAGGCGCACAGTTCCTTGTCTCGCTGTGATGAGGGCGGGTGGGGTGGCCTTCGTGCTCCCCAAGGGCTGGTGGTGTGCGCAGCCTGGCCTACTGGTGCCTCCTCAGGGTGGACAGGCCGAGTGTCCACGCTTGGCCCACTTGCTCTCAGAGCACTAGGCCTGCTTTCTACCAGCCACACACCGTCTGGGCTCTAAGCATCCAGAAGGAATCTTAGTGTAGACGTGTCCACTATCCCGCTTCTGTCCTCTGTGTGGCCCAAGCGACTAATATTGAGAAATGCTCTTCAAAGGTGTGTCAGGGCTCGTCCGTCTAGACTCTCGGAAAGCCCTCTTTCCTGGACGCTCAGGCCTTGAGAGCTGCACTCCATGACTCCCGAGAGCCTGAGCAGACCTTACCCGAGAGTTATGGGTTAACAGTATGTCCCTGAGTTCTCCATGAGGCAGCGGGAGAAGCCAGTACATCTAGTCCACAAGTTTAGTGGAGCTTCTGCTGTCCGCCCGCTGCTGCCGTGAGCATGTCCACGAAGGTCAGTTCCTGAGATTGGAAACCTCCTTCCCTAACGTGCTGAATATCCCCAGGGAAAAAAATTCCATATTGCTTAGTTGGCTATGTTTTTCCAGAAAAACGAATATACTTCCATTTATAAGATAATATAACTGATATGAAATACTGTATTTCCATATTTTCTTTTTCACCTTGACTATCAGGAAACTTGGAGCAGAGCTTTACACTTGTGGCTGTGGCCGTTTCCACTGTCGACATTTGACACAACAGCTTCTTCCTTCAACGCTTTCTTTGCCCCTTTAAAAATCATTCTGTTATATACTGGTCATTTATTTTATGCCACTTCAAATCCTTTGAAAGTATTTTTGTCAAATATGAATAACAGATGATGTAATTATGATGTCCTAGCAATTCATAAATATCTACTTATTGATTGATACTCTTCAAGAAATATTTTTGGGGGGGGTGCAGAAGAGATTCTGTCAAAGAGAGAAAGTTTAACTGTGAGTTATAAACAAAGGAGATTATAGATACTTTCAACAAAACCCTCATCTTTTCCTTTAATCCCCCAATGTTTTCCTGTTTCTTTCTTTCCTTTTTTTTAAGTAGGCTCCACACCCAATGTGGGGCCCAAACTCACAACCCCAAGATCAAGAGTCTCACACACCACTGACTAAGCCAGCCAGGTGCCCCTATCTTCCTGTTCCTTTCCATCAAAACTCTAAAAGAACAGATTTTAATTTAGAAAATTAATGATCACTTCCTTTGTGCAGAACATTTTTGAGAAGACATGGTACTGCACATTTCTTTGGAGGTTGAGTTTTGTTGAGGGAAGAATTCTAAAAGTATGCTGTGTGGATCTCTGTGCTGAGAGGGAAAGAAAAGTACATACTCAGGGACATGATGCCTCACTGATGTGCGGAACCCCTGAATCTCTACAAAGTCATTTCACATCCTCTGAGCACGTGTGTCTTAGAGTGCTTATGTCTCACCAAAGCTTCCAATGAACTGCCAGCTTCTTGCTCATCTGGTGAGACTAAAATGATGTCATCAACATACTGAACCAAATCAACATTCTTTTTTAATTTTTTAAAAGACTTTATTTATTTGACAGAGAAAGAGAGAGACAGCGAGAGAGGAAACACAAGCCGGGGGAGTGGGAGTGGGAGAAACAGGCTCTCCACAGAGCAGGGAGCCCAACACAGGGCTCAATCCCAGGACCCTAGGATCATGACCTGAGCCAAAGGCAGACACTTGACTGAGCCACCCAGGCGCACCCACTTTTTTAAAAAATATTTTATTTATTTACTTATTTGACAGAGAGAGAGAGAGAGAGAGAGAACAAGCAGGCAGAGAGGCAGGCAGAGCAGAGGGAGAAGCAGACTCCCCGTGGAGCAGAGAGCCCATTCTGGGACTCTGAGATCGTGACCAGAGCTGAAGGCAGACAGTTAATCAACTGAGCCCCCCAGGTGTCCCCCAAGTTAACATTCTGAAGCCTGTTCGGATGGTCCAGGTCTCCTTGGACTATACTGTAACAGAGGGCAGGAAAGCCTCCCAGTGGGACAGGTTATGTGTTAGTCTACACCATGTGATGTAAATTGCTTCGGATTCTCCTTCTTGAGGGTGGTGAAGCGTGGACATCTTGGCTCCATGGCCACACACCCTGGCCAGAGTCTGAGGTGGCACAGCAGCTACGGCTGGGACTGCTGTGTGGTTGAGCTGGTCTACTGTCACCACCCAGAACATATCTGGTATCAGAGGGGGAACTGGCCAATGAAATAACCCATGAGTTCTTTAAGGGCAGTCTTGGTCTGTTTCCACAGGATGTGCTATTGTTTTTATTTTCCATCCTAGCACCCTACTTGGCCTTCCTTCCTGGGATGACTCTTCACCCCCACCCCAAGGAACCAATGTGGGCTTTCTGACAACTGTCACATATGTCTGTGTCAATTTTACCTTCAGTGCCAGAGGAAATCAGTGGTAACGGGGAGGGGGGGTGTTCACTGTGAGTCTGCTGGGGCCAGGGCTCCACTCATTCCCTGGACCTCACAAATCTTTTTCTACACATTGGGTCCCTGCGTCTCATGACTTGAAGCCCAGTAGTGTTTGAAATGTCTAGGTGAATGGCCACAGGTGCCTTTGCTGGGGGGAGGTGTCCTAGGGGAACCCTTACCATGCATATGTATTGCCAGCTCCTCTCCCCCACTTGGTGGGCCCTGGGGATGAAAACAGGCTCACATCTGAAAACTGGACAAGGGACTGTGATGTTTTATTGGGCACATTTCTTCAGCTACTGATACCTGTCTTTGATTGCTTTTGGCTGTATGGATGGAACCACCCTCTCATTGGCCGGCAACTGCCTTGCTCCTGACAGCACGTCCTGCTGACCATCTCGGCAGCCCAGTGCAGTTCGAAGAGCCACGGCTGCCACTCCAGTCCTGCTGCTCAGTATAAGATAGCACCTGGCTTGCTTCTGATGGTGAAACACCACGGCTTGGCCTCTAGTATGTCACTATCTGATCACCGGCACTATCAGCGAGCCCAGTGCTGTCTATACCAGCATCTGTACCCTCTGGTCAGTCCTACAATGGCCACCTCTTGGGGAGACTCTCACCTGTACAGTCCTCACCACTTTTTTTTTTTTAAAGATTTTATTTATTTATTTGACAGAGAGAGATCACAAGTAGATGGAGAGGCAGGCAGAGAGAGAGAGAGAGGGAAGCAGGCTCCCCGCTGAGCAGAGAGCCAGATGTGGGACTTGATCCCATGACCCTGAGATCATGACCCGAGCCGAAGGCAGCGGCCTAACCCACTGAGCCACTCAGGCGCCCAGTCCTCACCACTTTTGTCATGAAGTGTCCTCCAGGCTTTCCAGGGAACCTAGTTCGCAACTAGCTTTCCCAATCATAGGAGTGTATTTACTCTCCTTTGTGTCTTCTCTGAGCACTGCGGTGCTTTCCCCTGCTGTCTGCCACGACCATGGCATTCCCACTTAGTGCGGGATATCACTTGTTCGGAGCTTCCAAAAGCCATGCCAGAGGCGCGGGGTACTTGCCAAGTGACAAATCCTCTCCCATAATTGAATGACCCCATATCAGTATACTCTAACCTGATCTACCTTTTTGTTCTCCCTGACCAAATCCAACGTTCTCTGGATCTGGTTTTGGGTTTATTTCCTCCAGCCCTTTGCGCACACGTCCCCTTGGTTGTGAGGCTCCTTTGCAGACAAGACCCTCTTCCTTTGTCTGATCCGGCCTGTCTCCAGTGGGGAGATGGTGACACGGTGGAGGCGTGGAGCTGGAGGCCCCCGGTGGACCACCGTCCTGCACAGGTCTCCGCAGTCACCAGCAAACACAGAGAGAGCATTTGTCTGTAACAGGGAGAGGTGAGCCGCCTCTCAGGTCCAGAAGATTTAGGGATGTCTGGGATTCAGGATTTTGAGTACATTAATCCAGACGACGCTCTTCCAAGCCTCAGGGTCTCCCTCCTTCCCCCGTGCCCCTGCGCTGTCCCACTGCATTCCGCTGCCCGGCTACCCCCAGCCCTCCCATCTGGCTTCCTTCTATCCTGGGCTCCTCGCCCCACCGGGTTCCCCCAATCCTCGCTCCCCCTCCCCCCTCATTTCCTCCATTCCCGCTTCTGGTTCCTCGGCCTCCTCCACCTCCTCGCCCCTCCCCGCCCCTCCCCGCCCCGCCCCCCACCGGGTCCCCCACCGGGGTCTCCCCATCCCTAGCCCCTCCCCGCCCGGTTTCCCCCATTCCCCCTCCTAGCTCCCCCATCCCCGACCCCCACCCCCAGCCAGGTCCCCACCATCCCCTCTCCCGGTTCCCCCCCTCCCGTCTCCTCGGGCCTGCCCCGCACCCGGTTCTCCATCCCTTCTCTCGCCTCCCGGCTCGGTTCTTCCCCATTTCGCGTCCCTCTACCGCCGGGTCCCTTCCGAGCCCTCCCGAGGCCGACTCCGCCCCTCCCCGAGCCTCGGCCAATGTGGAGCTGGCGCTGTTCCGCGGGCGGAGCCGTCTCGCTCCCGCCTCCTAGGCCTCAGCCAATGGGCAGCTGGGGCCGCGCTGCGGGCGGAACCGTCGCGCCCCGCCTCTCTGGAGTCGCGGCCAATGGGGAGCCGGGGCAGGCCGGTGGGCGGGGCGGGGCGGCGGTGGCGCGCGGGGTCTGGCGCAGAGCGCTGGGACTGCGCCGCGGCTCGGGCTGCGGCTGCTCCGCGGGGCTCGGCGCGCGGATCCGGGGAGGCCCGCGGGCTCCCGGGCGGGCGACGCAGCATGGCGGTGGAGGAGGAGGGGCTGCGGGTCTTCCAGAGCGTGAAGATCAAGATCGGTGAGCGCCGCGCGCCCCTCCCCGGCGGCGGGCCTGGCAGCGCGGACGCGGGTGCGGGGCGGTGCGGGGCGGTGCGGGGCGGTGCGGGGCGGGAGCCTGCGGGCGTGCGTGTCCGAGGGCGGCTGGGCGGACCGCGGAGTCGCGTCTCCGCTCCGCGGCTGCCCCCGGACGCTTCCCTCCACGCGTGCCCCGGGGGGCGTGGGCCCGGCTCCGGCTGCGGGCGGTGCGGGGCGCGCGGCCCTGGGGGCGGCTGTGCGTGTTCGCGGCTGTGCGTGCGCGGCCCGCGGCGGATGTGAGCTGCACGCCCGGCCCCAGCTCCTCGCGCGGGGAGGCGGGGAGCGCCCAGGCCCCCTCCGCTGAGACCCGGCCGGAGGGGCTCAGGGCCACCGGCGCCTGCCGTGCAGGCCGCGTCGCGGTCCGGGCCTGGGGAGGGCGTGAAATGCGGATTCCGGGGCGGGCTGGAGGCTCGTCCGCACTTGCTGGGCGGTCCCGAGAGGCCCGCGTCTGCCCGCCGCTGTTTGTCTCCGGAGGGCGGTGGGCAAGTGCTTTGCCTCCTAAAAACAAGATCATTGTCCGGAGTGACGGTCACACAGCGATGCCGTAAACGTCCCGGGAGAGAGAACAGCCTTCGGCGGACCCGCAGTGTTGCTCGTCCTCGGGGTCCCCTCGCGTCCGCGGTCCCTGCTCTCCCCACGTGAAAAGGGGCCGCTGGGAACAGAGCCAGGCACCCAGGGACTGTCCGTTGTTGATGACATTTGATGCTGCCGGAGGAATTCCAGCCGCCCCAATCCGCGTGTCGTTTCCTGTCGGCTTTATTTTGGTTCGAGGATCATCGCCGAGACACGGTGGATACTTGGCGGAGAAGCACCGGGGATTGGATGTAGCAGATCTTTGGGCTCCAGTCTGCCTGCAGCCGATTTCTCGTGTTCACTTGCGTGAAATCTGCTGTCACTTTCATACGGAGAGATTCCTCGGGGCGAGCCGCTGAAGCGGGGGCAGGAACACTGCCTCTGCCATGGTCCTCCGGCCCAGAGCCCTCATTCAGCGCCCGGGAGAGTGAGGGACATCTCCCCGGAGGGTTCCAGATGCTTCCTGGATCAAGGGAGCAGGAGGGGGACCTGGGCGTGGGGGTCTGGTTGTGGAGGAGTGTGCCAGGTTTTCTGCGTACAGCAGGAAGGAGTGGGTCTGAGGACCTTGTGGTTCAGGCCAGGCACTGCCATTCTGACATTCAATTCCAGGAGAGTTCTGGAACAGTGGTGTTGATTTCTTTCCAGAGTGGTACAGTATAGGAAGCAGGGGAGTGAGGAGACCCCCAGAGATGCGGGAGAGCAGCCCCACTAGCCTTGTCTGTGGGTGGTGGAAGGAAGAGGGTTTGGAGACACCGCTTGGTTAGGCTTTCTGTGTTTTGTGTTCCACTTTCAACGAGGGAGAGAACCACCCAGCTCAGCTTTGGAGTAGTGCAGTGATGGAAACATCTGCCATCTCTAACCCCAAGGGGAAAAGGTGCTGTTGGGAGCTTTGGAGCCCCTTCCCCAGGTCTGAGGGCTGTAGCAGTGAGAACAGAACCAGCGTCCAACTCCCTGGGTGTTGTTCCATCTCCAAGAAGCTCTTATCTCTCTCTCCTCTGAGGGTCCTCATCACAGTGCACAATCCTGAGCTGTAAGAGGGAGATACAATGTCTCCCCTTTTTATCCGGGGTGGTCAGAGAGCAAGGGGCTACACACAGCACGGCAAGGCATACTTCTGTGTTTGGGTGGTCTCGGCCGGGCTTCTGAGTTTGAGGCTGGGCTGCAGCCCTGAGGGTGAACTGGGTGCACTGGGTTGAAGCTTAGTCTCATCTGACTCGAGGGAAAGCCTTTAATAGAATGGGATCAGGATGGTTCTGGGCATGGAAGGTGGTGTGCTGAGCTCTTGATTTCTCTCCTTGGTTGTCTGTTGTGGCCAGTGTTGCCTCTGACTTGCCTGAATGCCCTGGTCTTAAAGGCACAAGATGACGAGAAACACCAGAGTTGATCTGGGAGAGCAGACACGCATGAGTCATACACACGCATGGTCACATGCACACTGGCCTCTCCTCGTTCGGGGACACACTGGCCAGGCCGTCCATTCATCTCTGAACGTTGTCTCCGGGCTAGCTGGCTGCACGCCCTTGTGCTCTTGGCTGGCTGGCTGGCCCAGAGCAAGTGGCCTCCCCGTCCATAGCCTCATTTTTCCATTTGCAAGATGCATGCAGTAATTGTCTGCTGCATCCGGTGGGGGCGCACAAGACGGGATTGTTCTGGCTGGCATTAATGCGCACCCCTCACTGTCAGAAAACAGAGAAAGAAAATTCCTCCCTGAAGTTAGACCAGTAAGCAATGTCACTACTCCTGTTGCTAAGAAAAAAGGCAGAACATTTTTGCAGGGATGAAGAGTGTTTTAGGTATTAGGGCCTTGGCCTTTAATTCTTAAATAGTTTTGGATTGTGTGGTGGTCCTTGTCTCATTGACAGGCGAAGGCTGGGGACAATGGGAACAATCTGTTCCTTGTTCTCCTCTCCCCTTTCTCTCGCCCTTCCACCTTTTGCAAAAGCCAAATCAGACTGAGGCATTTTTATTGTAACTGTTCTGAGTCCTTGTCTTGAAGAACCTGTTGCTTTCTCCACTGAAATCTTGCAGGTGTTTTGGGTAGTTCTTCCACACACTTAAAAATCTGAAACATTGTCTACCTTTGGGAACAATTGTTACTGTTTTTGCACTAGTATCTCTTGTGGGCTAAGGCCAAATGCACTTCCTCTGAGGTGGTAACTTTGAGGAAGTTGCTTCTCTGACTTTCCATGAGTCAGGGCCTTGGTGCCAGAGGGGAAGCAGCTTGACGACTGTGGGTAGGGAGTGTGCCGGGGACCACAGCCAGAGCTCTTCTGTGTTATTTTGGACATGACGCCCCTTTAGGCATTGTGGTATAGCCTTGCTTCCCAGGGGTATGTTCTTTTCCCATAATAATTACCTCTGGTTTTTAAAAGTATCATCTTATAAAGTGTTCAATTAAGAGCAATATACAAAGGTTTTTCTCTCGAGCTAGAAAAAAAAAATCCTATCCTTGAACTCAAGAGTGAGAAAAGCCCTCTTGCCCTGTTAATGGTTTTCATCATCAGGCTTGAGGGCCCAGTTTGGATCTGCTTGGTGTGTTGGCGTGTATGTGCCGTATGAGGCCACTCTGCCTGATTCCTTGCCACAGGATTCCCTCTCTTCCCTGTTTGTCCCTTCCATCTCCATGGAGCCTCTCAGGCTCCGCTGGGCTCCGGCCCTCAGTGTTCCTGCTCTGTAAGATTACAACTTGTCCGGCCGAGAAGATCGATGGCACATCAGAACTGACAGCTCCTCCTACTCAGAAAAACGTGGCCCTGCAGGGTGTGGGTGCTGTGGGCCCAGGCGAGCCTGCCCCAGCCTTGTGCCTTCCCTCCAGCCAGACACAAACACGATCCCACCAGAACAGGAGGTCCCTTGGCAGGGAACTGAGGGAGGTGAGAGCAGGAAATCGTGGCTGAGGGTCTCTGGCCGCACCTCCCCTGGCCAGATGGCTGCTTTGGAGGAGTGTGGCGGAGATGGCCCAGACCGCAGGGGCTCTGTTAAAAGTGGGATCTTTAAGCAGATTTCCTACATGGGAAGCAGTACTGTGCTCCTCACGGGGTCCTGTAAGGGTCAGAGGTGGTGGCGGCCTGCTTGCTAAGTTAGAGTAGTTATTGTTGGTAGTAGGGTCTTCATGGGGCTAGGAAGATGTGGTTTTCCCAATGAGAGAAAACATTTTGTGAATATAAGGCAGTGACATCAGTGATGTTGGCTTTTTCATTGTGTGTGTGTTTGCCAGTGGGCGAAGGGGCAGGCCCCACACACGGCTCTTGGCATCAGGGATTCTGTATTCTCTTGAGCACTCTGATGCTAAAATTAACCTGGATATTCTATTAACCGAGCTCAGCTAGCTGCCTGTGCTATTTTTAACCCCTAAGGACTAGTGTGCAGATCCGGGGTATGTCGGGGGAGCAGCCGGGCTCAGGGGCCAAGCGTGATTTTAGTTCGCGTCTCCGGGTTTTACGTGGGAAGGCCTGGGCTTGCTGTGCCCGTGTGTGGTGTGGGCAGAGTTGCAGACTCTCAGGATCTGGTTTGCAGGTGTTATGTCATTTTCGTGCACGTTCTCACGAGTCTGTGACGTTGAAGTTGAGGAAGGGAGACCCACATGACTTCGTTTACCTGCCCAGAGTCACCGAGCCTGTACGAGTGGAGCTGGGATTTACGCTGATGCTGATGGTCTTGATCTCACCACTTATCCCGCTCTGGCTTTCTGTGTGACCCTGGATTTGAATGGTGGGGTACAGTGAAGGGCTGGGAAAGACAGAAGTGGTGATTTCTGGGGTCAAGAGGTAACAGGACCACTGTCTTTTGGGGCTGGAGGCCCAGGGCACTGCCCTTGCTGTCCTGAGCCTTATAGTCACTGCCTGGGGCTTCCAGGGCGGATGTTGGAGAGGCGAGGAATTGTGGAGATGTGGTCTTGAACAGAAATCCAGGGATGGTTTGTTGAGCAGGGCCACTGGCAACACTTACGCTTTGGGAAAAGGCGTCGGGCAGTTGAGCAGAGCACGGATTCCTGTGGGCGGACTCATGTGGCGGGAAGGTCGCATTTGGAAGGAGCGTTCAGATTTGCTTCTCTGAAACTAGTGAGGCCTCCAAGCATATAGGCAGTCACACCTCCCTGAAGGCATTGGGGAATCAGAGCATCAGCTTGTCATGTTTTCGTTATGTTTGGAGAGGAGACGGATGTATTTGCCGGAAGCAAACAGAAGCAGTAGCTGCGAACACCTGAGAGTTGAGATTTGCAAGTTGCCCTTGAAAGTGAGGCTGTGAGTGCACCTCCCCCTTCCTAGTGACCCTGGAGGTGGGTTCCTGCTGTCGGAGGCACAGGAGAGTTCAGTCAGGCGGTGGGAGGGACAGGCGCCCCCGGGAGCCTGCCAGGAGAGGCAGGCGTGA